CCCCCACCACCCCCCTGAACATATGTTTTTTTGGAGAAACCATGTACGCAGAATTAGACTCCTTTTAAACCATGCATATCATTTAAAAATATATACGGACATTGATTTGCAAGCTTCTAGTTTAAATTGTCAGCGCTTCAAAAATCCAGTGGCATTTCAAGGAAATAAAAGAGTCGTAACTTGCAGAAGGGCCGACGGTACAAACAACACACGTCCGGTGATGAGCAAAGGGCACGGCTGTCTCCGTCGTAAAGGGCAGCCTCTTTCGAACACTTATGCTCAAGCCTCCTCATGGCTGCCTTCCTTCTAAGGGTGCCCCTGGCAACGTGGGAGGTGCCCCAGTATGGTCCCCGGCATGCCCGGTGGCTGGTTCTCATCCAACATTGCCCCTGCCTTCTAGAGAGAAGCAGTCCTTTAGAATGGGCGGATGGCAGTGTTTGCAGGGAGCACCCGAACTATCCTCTGTTCTACCCCTGCCTCGATGCTTCATGCCAAATACAGGACACACCCGTCGGGCACCACCGTCCCCACGGCGGAGCTCGTGGGCTGCCCGAGTCTGGAGAAGTCCACGGGGAGCCTGCAGGCTGGAGACCACTGCCCCCCTGGACAGTCCTCCTAGGGGTCAAGTCAGGTCCCACTCAACCTGCTCTGACCATGGGGCTGGCCTGCTCCTTCCCCAGGGCTGGCTCCGGGCTGGGCAGGCGGTGGGCAGCGGTCAGACAACCTCCCAGCCGCAACTCGGCTTACCACTCTGCCATCTCAGTTTGTCTTTGGACAAACCACTCAACCACCACTAAAGCAAGCCATCGACGAAGAACTTGCAACGGCTGTGTTTCGTAGATCTGGCCTCTCAGAGCACGGGCAGCATTTTAACCAACACACTCTCAGAAAGGTCCTTGCAAAGCTGGAGACATTCAAAAATGCAGCCTACTGTCTGTAATGACCGTCATGGAATTCTAGTTCGCTCATTTATAAATCACCACCTGCTGTGGACACATACTAAAATAATATAACTGCAGTGTGCTCTCATCAGGATCCCAGAGAACTTTGATCTTGGCACGCAAAGGTCACCAAGGGAGAGCAGTGGCATGGCTCCCAGAATGACCCCGGACCAAAGTCCGGAAGAGCCGGACGGGGAGCCCATGAGGCTGCTGGGTGATGGCCATGTCACTGTCTCCGCTTCCTGTCTGCAAAGTGGGGAATGACTGCCCAACGCGCTCGCCCACCTGAGTCTAACGTGACAGCATGCAGGAGAGCGTGGGACTCACAGACCACCCAAGCTCCAGGTCTCCGTGGATGCTGGCTCGCTCTCCCTTCAAGGCATGACCACACTGTCCCAACCTGTCACTTGGGGGTTACATTCCCTGGGCACTAGGGAGACTTCTCCCCTCGTCCCTCTCAATTTTGTGATGCACCCAGTTGAGTCTTTACTTAGAAGGAACAGTATTTATTATGTTTAAAGATTCATTTACTTGAGAGAGAGTGTGAGCACACGTGAGCAGGGGGAGGGGCAGAGGCAGAGGGAGAAGCAGGCTCCCTCCTAAGGGGGGAGCCCGACGCGGGGCTCGATCCCAGGACCCTGAGATCATGACCTGAGCCGAAATCAAGAGTCGGCCGCCTAACTGACTGAGCCACCCGGGCACCCCAGAAGGAAAATTATTTTTAAGGCCCATTATGATGAAGGGGTTCCACGGTTCACCTCACCTCCTTTGGGCCCCAGTTTCACAGATGCAGGAAAAAAGCTAATCCCTGTTCAGGCGGCCGGCCCCGGACGCGTCAGCATCAGGAGACATGACCTGGCAAGGAAGCGGTCCTGGCTCTAGCCGGTCCAGCGGCAGGGCCTGGCCGACGGATGCACGGGTGGAGGCAGATGTGCTGCCCGCGCTCGGCGTCGGCGAGGACAACCGAAGGACATCGGTGCAGCTGGCTGAGCCCATGAGTGAGGGCATGAAACTGGCTCAGGCGGAAAGTGCGATGAATGCAGTGGGTCATTTTCATTCCACGGAGCCCACCCTCACGGCGCCAGGGGCTGTCAGATGGGGCAGTCTCTCCACAGACCCTCCAGGTTGGCCCTGGGCCATCTTTTTTTTTTTTTTTTTTTTAAATAAAGTCAATGAAGAAGCGCTAAGATCTTCAGAGAAAAGCGGAAGGAAGTGAAAGGCCAGTGCTTTCCTACAGCTGTGGTGCTTTCCCCGCTGAACCCATCCTCCCTTAGAGGCGCCCCTGCTGCTCTTGGCTCCTGGGCTGCAACACCCGAGGCCACACCGCGGATCCTACCCCCCGCCCCCCCCGGCAAGGTGCTGGCCAAACCCCGCAGGGACGGGAGAGCAGGGATCACGGGTCCTGGCCACAGAGGGACACGGCAGCCCACCAGTCACGACACCACCTCTGCAATGTTCCCCACCGCCCCAGCTGCGGAACGCACAAAAGGCTTTGGCAACACTCTCTTCCTATGCATATGCTGCCTGAGCATGCTGCAGTCAGTCAAGACGGCTCCTTCCAGATCCGTAAGTCACCCAACACACAGGGGCGGCAGGCATCAGAAGACCCAAGCGGAGGTTTTGGAATCCCAGTGGGCACTGCTCCCAGGCAGCCCCAGGCCCCGCCTGCGGACAGGTGGTCTCACCTGGCCTGAGAAGAACCCCCTTGAGCCACTGCTGGGCCACGGGGCTGAATCGTGGCCAGCCCAGCTCTCTGGTCTCCCGATTGCGCTGAGAGCTATCTGGGGGGGTTCTGGGGAAAGGGCGGGCCAACAGCACCCTATCTCAAGTCACCAAGAGGGCTGACCATGCTTTCCACTTTGTCTGCCACGAGCCCAGTATGCTCAAGCAGAGCTGCCCCCCTCAGCCTGCAGGACCCCCCGCCCCCCCGAGGTGCCTTGGTGCTCCAGACGACTGGCCTTCCCTCCCTCATCCCAATAAGAGCTCTCTGCTCAGAGACATGGTCCCAAAAGCAGGATTCATCCCAGGGCCCGGGTCACATCTGTGTGTGTCCCACCTGCCTCCTCAGGCTGTTTTATTATGCATCCAAATTCCCCAGGGAGAAATTCTAGAAACTCTTTCTAGAAGGAGATGTTCTCTTGGTGGTTCCCAAAGCAGGCAAGGGGGGTAAGGAGGCACCAAAGCCTCCCCACCACCCCGAAAGGCATTTAGAAATGCCCGTAGCCAGGGATTCAAACCATCTTGCCACATGCAGGGCGCCCAGACCTTCCCTGGCCCGGCTGAGAAACTCAGTGAGAGAGGAGAGCTTTATGGCTCTGGTCCTTTCCTTAGCAGGCACGGAGAGAGGGTGGAGGTGCTAAGGCCATGGCTCAGCCAGTTTGAGTGGACTCTCCTCGTGGGCCTGTGTGATTTCTTTCTTAGTTGTCCAGTCCCAACACAGGGTCCTCTCCTAGATCCCCACCCTAAAGAAGAAGGGGGGGTCCCAGTTCAAAGGCACTCAGGGGCCGAGCGCTGTGGATGGGCCACGAGCGGCCTCAGACCAGCTCCTGCTGCCTCCAGCACCAGCCCTGCCCCGGGGCCCCCGGAGCCCACCCAGAGCTTGACCACACACAAGTCAGTCGAATTCCTGTCCAGCACAGCAAGATGACGGGCCGTCCAACAGGGTCCGATGGACTCTGCTGGGGGGGTTGATTAAAACACTAAGTGATGTTTGTAAGTTGAATTGAACAAAGATTTATTAAGCACCTACTTCGTGCCAGGCACTGTGCCAGGCGCCCTCGCTGCGCTCTGCCCCCACAGCACGCAATCTGCTCAGAAATGAAAGCCCGGGAAAGGGACGTTGTGGCAACCCTACAAACTGGAGGTGTGGGGAGGCGGGCGGAGCGGATGCAGGCCACCCCCGTGCACCCACCAGAGACCTGGTCTCTTTCTCTGGACCAGTCTCACTCAGACCGCTTGAAAGCATCTTGGTTCTGACAGCGAGGGAAGCTGTCCCCCCGGCCCCGGGACCCCCACGCCGGTGCCCGGCGGGCGCTCGAATACTCCGACCGCTCTTCCGAAAAAGGAGGTGTAAAGGGTTGTTCGTATTTGGATTAGAAAACGCTTTGTTCGGTTGGTGTGGTTGCAACAGCCCTTGAGAAAGATACAAACATCCCTGCCCTGACTGCGTAAACGCGAAAGGGGGACCTGGCGCGGGGTTCCTGAGTCAGCGGCGTCCCGGGGTCCGCAGCCTGGCCGGGCCGGGGAGGCGAGGGTGGACGGCGCCCCCGGGGCGCAAACGCGCGAGACCGCACCCAC